TAAATATTTGGTCTTTTCATGGTGTTTATATCATAGGAATAGAGGAAGGAGAAGAATTTCAGGTTAATGGTGTTGACCAGATATTAAACAGGACCGTAGAAGAGAATTTCCCAAAATTAAGGAAAGACATCCCCATACAAATTCAGGAAACACATAGAACACCAGATAGACAGGATCAGAAAAGAAACTCCCAATGACATATCATAGTAAAAACACTAAATGTGCAGAACAAAGAGAATATTGAAAGCAGCAAAAGAAAAACAAGTCACAAACAAAGGAAAACCCATCAGAATTACAGTTGACTTATCAATGCAAACTATGAAAGCCAGAAGAGCCTGGACCAAGGTATTTCCAGTTTTACATGACAATAGATGCCAGCCCAGAATACTATACCCAGCAAAAATGTCTATTATAGTTGAGGGGGAAAGAAAAATCTTCCATGACATGAACAGCCTGAAAGAATACATGTCCACAAAACCAGCCCTTCAAAGAATATTTGAAGCAATATGGAGAGCAGGGAGAGAAACAACTATACCCTTGGGGCAATGAAAGGAAATAAATATATAATCTAGGAAACACAAAATTACACAGGGAACACAAACAGCAATCAAAATGATGGCAACCAGTACACACTTTTCAATAATAACCTTAAATATCAATGGACTGAACTCCCCAGTCAAAAGACACAGGCTAAGCGAATGGATTAAGAAACAAAATCCATCTCTTTACTGTCTGCAAGAGACCAATCTCACCTTCAAGGACAGGTATTACCTTAAGGTGAAAGGATGGAAAAGAATATTCCAAGCAAATGACACTAAGAAACAAGCAGGGTTTACAATTCTAAATATCTGACAAAATAGACTTCACAGTAAAACTAATCAGAAGAGATAAGGAAGGTCACTTCATTCTCATCAAAGGAACAGTTAACCAAGAAGATATTACAATCTTTAACATATATACACCAAATTCTGGTGCACCCAAATTCTTAAAAACAACACTACAGGGCTTTAAGACACAGATTAACTCCAACTCAGTAATAGTAGGGGACTTCAATACCCCACTGTCTCCATTAGACAGGTCAACTGGACAAAGAATAAACAGAGAGACATCTGAAATGATACCATACATCAAATGGACCTAACAGACATCTTTCAAATATTCCACCCAAACACCAAAGAATATACTGTCCACTCAGCACCTCATGGAAACTTTTCAAAAATTAACCACATATTGGGCCACAAAATAAACCTCAACAAATACAAAAATATTGAAATAATTCCATGCAT